TGATCCTTCAGAAATCATTCTAATATGCTGCTGTATTATTAGAATTATCAACAGTTGTGCTGCACAATATTTTGTTGGAAACTGCGATACTTTTTTCAGGATTCTTTGATGATTAAAAAGTTAAAAAGAACAGCATTTATTCAAAATATCAATCTTTTCTAACAATATAAATCTTTGCTATCACTTCTTATCAATTTAACACATCCTTGCTGAATAAAAGTTTTAATTTCTTTCAAAAAAAGAAAGAATACAAATTTACTGACGCCAAACTTTTGAACTGTAGTGCATATTGTTAGAAAATATTTATATTTTGAATACATGCTCTTCTTTTTAACTTTTTATTCATCAAAGAATCCTGAAAAAAAGTATCACAGGTTCCAAAAAAATATTTGCTCTTCTTTTTAACTTTTTATTCATCAAAGAATCCTGAAAAAAAGTATCACAGGTTCCAAAAACATATTTGGCAGCACAACTGTTGATAATTCTAATAATAAATCAGCATATTAGAATGATTTCTGAAGATCATGTGACACTGAAGACTGGAGTAATGATGCTGAAAATTCAGCTGCACATCACAGAAATAAATTACAGTTTAATGTATATTAAAATAGAAAAACACAACATAATAACATTTCACAATATTACATTTTTTCCTGTATTTTTGATCAAATAAATGCAGCCTTGATGAGCAGAAGAACCTCCTGTAAAAACATTAAAAATCGTTCTGATCCCAAACTTTTAACCGGTAGTGTATATAGTGTATATATTATATATATATATATATAGGCTTTGAAAATTGTATCATTGTGAGACCTTCAAGTCAAAAAAGTTTAAAACCACTGGCCTAAAGTATGGTTCATAGCAAGTCATGAGGTTTGAGGCTTATATTTACCGTTCACTCTGGGCCATCTGTAACGGCGAGGTCACACCAGCTGACCTTTGACCGTCCTGCCGTCAGCCAATCGGATGATCAGATCCTCTCTCCATGCTTTGTGCTTCTCCAGTCGCATTTAATCACAGATGGTTACACCTGCCTCTAGAAACAAATATATAAAATAGCCTGTGTTAAAGTAATACTTCAAGGTCAGAGAACTAAATTAATAGTTCTCTTGATATCAATGGCAGAATTATATCAGACTTTACATAGGAATATACAGTGAGGGTCACAAATGTGTGTGTTCTGCATTTATTTCATAACAAATTACCTATCAGAATATGAATATGAGTTGAACTAAAATGAATATTAATATGAGAATACATCAGGTTTTGGGTGTCTTTTGCTTGAATGAAAGCAGCACTGAAGCTTCAGTGGAAGATCAGTCACATTTCTTGTTCATTACACAGAATAACATTACTTTGAATTACATGTTTTTTTTTCTTTCTGCAAAAATCCTAAAATTAATCCGAACACATTTTGAACTTGATTTTTTAATGTGGTCTCAGACTTTTAATCCTCACTAGTACACTAGTCGTCATAGAGACCTTTTCGCACCTTTAGCAATGAACAAATGTCAAGCATAATAAACAGTGTTGGGGGTAACGCATTACAAGTAACGCGAGTTACGTAATCAGATTACTTTTTTCAAGTAACTAGTAAAGTAACGCATTACTTTTTAATTTACAAGAGAATATCTGAAAAGAAAAGCAAGTGCTATAAGGTGGAGAAGTGAAGGAACAGTTACTGGAAGGAAAGAGATAGTTAGCATATCTACTTACAAGTCATCCATAGACCACACACACACACACACACACACACACACACACTCTCTCTCATATTACAGCAATCGAACAGGATAACCACCTTTTGCCTTCTTTCATATTCCATGGATGTTTCTGGATCTCCACATTCTCCTCCTCCTAGTTCATCTTTAGGGTATCTGAAAACTTCTTTCACTGAGAAGAGTAGTGCTGTAACATGGGGCAGGGCGTGTCGGTGCATGTGTATTTTTACATGCGGTATAACTCTCACGTTGAGATTAGCAGGTGATGCAACTTGCTACACTTCCTATTTCACGTTGTACAGAGAGCATTCTGAGATGCTAATATCGAGGGGGGAGAAACGGTCTTTTGGGTGGGTTGAAAGGCCCACTGCCGAAACCAGCAGCAGGACGCTTTGTCCCAGGTAGAAGGGGTTCACGGTTAAGGGGCAAGGAACCTCTGGGAAACTGTGGGGAACGACGCGCGTGATGCTGGTTTGGGAATTGGAGGAGGGGCAGAGGGGAGGAAGGGCGGCGGGGTCTCTGATTTGGGGTGTGGAGGAGTAGGCGGTTGGGGACAGACAAATGAGGATGGGGTTCCCCAGCTGGGGATGAAGGAGTAGGTGTGGTTGGGGTAGAGGGTGATGGTGGTGTGGGACTGGGGCCTTCTCGAATTCTGCCCAGGAGGGGTGGAGGAACTCCCGGGGTGCCAGGACGGTGAAGAGGTGGGTTGTGGCGCAAGACGAACTGCTCTTTCACCGTGCCTGGGCGAGGGGGATCTCCTAACAAGGAAGGGAGTTGGGGTTTGCCGCCTCTGGGAGGGGCACTACCACCGCTACCTCCATGCCCCGCTCCATCAGGATGGAATTTGGCAGGTGGATAGGGTAGGACTCGGTCTATAGGTACAAGGACACCACCAACCATAACGGTGGAGTTTGAGGAAAGGGGGAAGTCTCTGGAAGGAGGAGGGGTTTGAGGGATGGGAGGAATGGAAGAGGGAAAAAACGGAGGGGGAGGATGGTGCTGAGGAATGCCATGAGAAGGTCGTATGGGGTCTTCGTTTGGATAGGGTGGCGGTGGATACTGCAAAGGGGGCGGAAGGTGAGCAGGAAGAGGAGGAGGGTGAGGAAGAGGAAGCGGAAGAGGAGGGACCAATCCCAACTCCTCAGAACTCTCATGGCTACGACTAGCAGGGTGATGTGGAGGCGGGGCTTCCATAAACTCCTCCTCTTCATACCAGGCCCCGCCCACTCTAGAACCCGCACTGCTCCCTCTTCTCAGGACTCTCCCAACCACGCGGATGCTTTCCACAGTTTGGATGCGGTTGCCATAATCAAGGGTTTCGATTGGTGCTCCCTCACTGGAGGATGAAGAAACAAGAGTCTCAATGCGATGGTAGTGGTCTCCATTGCCAGCTGAAGCTTTCCTTTCCTTGTCTTTCGTCCCATTGTCGGATCCTACACTTGGCTTTCGGGAGGATGCATTTTTCTCTCCATCTCCGTCCATCTTTGCCTTTATCTTCTGATCCTGCACTATGGCAGCTGATGGAACATTCAAACCCGGTACTTTTCTCTTCAACCCTTCTTCCTCTTTGGTTTTAGTCATGGCCTTGACCGGTTTAGTCGCACTTGGGCTAAAGGTGGCAAGTCGTGAGGGTGGTGGTGTGCGGTAATCCCGGTCTTTCCGCTCGTTTTCTCCCAGAGCCTCTCGTGGAGTGATCACGGCATCCCAGGGGTCACTGTGATAGGCTGTAGGTGAAAGGTTATGACCTCCAGACAGACCTGCACTCTGGGGTGCACCGAGTACATGGGGCGAGTCCATAATTTCATCTTGGGTGGGTGTGCTTCCGCTCTCATCTCGGACAGGGGTGCCATCCAGGTTATCCCCACCGACGAGGAGAGGGCTATTGCTGCCCACCTCATCCAAGCCAAGTCCGAGAGCACTGAAACCAGGATTTCCCTGGAGGAAACTGTTGATCTTAGACTCCAGGCTGGGCACTACCACAGCCTCGGTCTCACTTTCTTTCTTTCTCTCTTTAACTCGTTCCCTTTCTTTTTCTCTTTCCCTCTCTTTTACCTTCTCCCACTCTCTCCCTTTCTCTCGCTCAGACTCTCGCTTGAAATTGTTGCCTGTGGGCTTTAGGGCCTTCTGAGTTGTTGGGGTTGTTGTTGTGGAGGTTGTTGCAGCTGTGGTGACAGCTGAAGATGAAGAAGAGGCAGATGAAGACGGAACAGGGTCTGGAGTGGTGAGAGCGCCTGAACGAGCTGATGAAAGGAGAGAAGACAAACCTGCAAGATAGAGATTTAATAAGTATCAAAATAACTTCTGGTTCAAACAGGTTTCCCCCATCTTCCATCTTGACAAACAGTTCAGAAATCAATAAGAATGTAACAATTAGCCGCGAACCGGTTGAAAATGGCAAACAAATTGCAATATAATTGGAGTAGGAGTTTATATAGGAACTGACTGTCTTTAGAAAAGTTTACGTGGCATTTTCTTTTCATCTTGCTTCTGAACGATGCGTATTAAAATAGTGTTCATAAGCGCAGCTCTGCTTTGTTTACAGCGGTAACCAAAATAAATGAAAAAAAATATATATATAATTTTTTTAAATACATACACCCAAAAACAATGCATAAACAAAATGCATGCATGCATGCACAAATAATACAAAGTTCTAATTCAAAATGTCCAAGAATCTATATCGAAAACTTTCACTTTATACAAGAACACACTTACATGCTATGTTAAGCCCATTCTCAAAGCTACACTAAAACGAGTCCCGTTGAGATGTCAGTGTGTCACATAACAACACACACAGCCCTGCACACCTCCCGCACTGCCGCCTGACAGACGGGGCACCTCCAGAGCATTTTACACCCCAAACTCAAAGCTACGGCTTCATCGTTTCTCCTACAAACATTACATGTTGCCCTCTCTCAGCGGGCCGCCATTTTTCCGGAACTATCGCATCGTCACAGAGCAAGAAACCTGATTCGCCGAAGGAATTCGAAGGAGGGCGGGCTCTGCGTGAGAAACAACCAATGAGAAGCAAAGCCTGGCGTGCGTCACGAGCGTCCACTCAGTGCGCACGTAAATACATTTCCCGACAGCTAAACGCACGCCACATTCAACTAAACGGATTCTATGGAGTACTGAGAAAATAGACAACAGTGGAGGTTTATGCGCGGAAAACTACATCTATTTCGAACCAAAGCAACATGATATATTTAGAGAAACAAGCTCAAGTTAAACTCTTCTGCTCCATCACTTCTGCCTGATCTGATGCGTCTTTGTACGAGATAAAATACATAAATAAAAATCTACATGCACTCACAACACCACCCTGATATTTCTACAGGACCCTAGAGACGAAATGCAAAACGGATAAGATATAATCACAATTTTATAAGTGGATAATTAACAAACTAGTGCACTAGTGGGTGCTGTCTCCCGAGGGAGCCTTTATAGGGACATTGTTGATGTAAGCAATTATAGATAAGCGAAAAACTTTCAGAGCGTTGAAAAAATAGGATTGCTATGCAGAGTACAGCAAAAAGGTAACACTTAAATTTCAATTTCAATAAGCTCCATCTCAGCTCCAAGCAACTAAATCTGATGTTGGTGTCTGTTTGTATTATATTAAACCACATTCCTTCAATATTAGCTTTCAACGGCTTGGGTTCAGTGCAAAGACTGTATAAACTCGAATGTAAAGCGAGTGTTTTATATTTGCATGGTCACTGAAAAGGCTAACATTGGGGGAAATTAATAAGCATTCACTGCCATATGAAGCTTACAAAACTAAGCCAAATTCAACAAGTGCACAATGTTTCAGATATGAACACACAATCAAGTAATCATTGATCATCATCAGTGACATTATTAAATATTCTATACAATACTGCGATAATGTTTGGTTGCACATACAATATCAGTGATCATTAGGGATGTCACAATTAAAACAATCGGACATGTCATCTAATCTGATGATGTTTAGCTGGATGTGTGTGCAGACGTCTGACACATTCCATTTAAATGAATGAGAATCCACTGTAACAACACAATATACTGTTAAAAAGTCACGGTGTGGAGATATTATTAGTCCATTCCATGTTGTCTCGAATCTTTGTAAGAGTCAGGAATATAAATGCAAAATAAAAAAGTTTAAATGTGCTGTTTGTTTAGTTTCTTAATACAGAGCGTACCATCAATCATCAATATCATTACTGTAGGGCCACAAAACTCAAGTCTGCAATAATCAATAGAGAACAAACTCTGTGTTTGCAAAGAAACCTGATTGGACTTCTGAGAGAAGTCATTATGGCAGCTGTTGTGAGGAACGTCTGAAGGTTGTTGCAGAACAATTAGGCACTACAAGGATTAGTTTTTTTGAGAATAGTACAGTATACTAGTTTAATTAACTTGTTCACCCAGACAGCTATCTGTACCTTTGATATGACTGAATGAGACCAGATTTTACAGCAAGATTGAGAAGTAAATCTGTGGTGGTGCAGCTGGTATAAAACGTATAGAAGCTGATTTAACTGAAGAAGCGATTTACAATTTCACTTTTCTGTCACAGCTGAAGACTCACTGCATTTATGCATTCGAAGTTTCATTGTTTGTGCATAACATGCTGATGTGCAACAAGGCTGCCATCACAAATATTGTTATATATAAATGTGTGGGCTCGCTGAAATACTCCTTGCAATGAATGCAAATGAAAACACCAAACCACACTCCTCAAATATTCAATATGTCAGCACTTGAAGAACGATTTCAACCGTTTACACAATGCATGAGAACTACAACGATGTACATGTTATATTCACATTTAAATAGTCAGACATTTTGATGAAAAGCAGTGCATCGACATTGTTGTGAAAAGATGTACTGTTTGCTTTCGTTTTACGAACAATGCATGTGACATCACATTCTGAAAATGCAATGCATGAAAGTGTGGCTTGTGTAGAACACAATTCATTGTCATTATCTTACATCCTAGAGACGAAGAACTGACTTTAAAGATTAACAGATACAATGGAAAACCGAAAGTAATGAAACCAAACTAATTCTTTCCTCAACTATCATTTGGACATAGTATTCAGAGCGGTGTATTCAAGCTCTGCGCATTCCTGTAAACGTGTTGGACATCCTGGAGTTAGAAGACTTACAGGAGAGAACAGAATTGCTGTTAAGTAAAAACAAAATGACAGAAAATAATCCAGGTACATTTGTTCTTGAACAAAGTATGAGACCACCTGTAAAGAAAAGTCTCCTTCCTTTCAATAATATTTCTTGTCACAACGCTTTTATTAATCAGAACACATGTAAGAACTCTATCAAGAAAAAAAACCCCACAAAGGAACTCTTGAAAAGCACTACTGAGTAGTTATGCCTTTAATACTTGGTTAGCTTATACTGTACGCAGTGTGAGCCTAAATCTTCACATCTTGGTGAAGGTTGATACAAGTAGCTATATTTTTTTTAATCACTACAAGCCATTATGGTTGCCCAGCATTACATCTTTGTCAATAATTTAATCACTCAGGAAATAAAAGTTGAAATCCACTGGCTTTGCACACAAAGTGAAAGAATAACCCCCCCCAAAAAAAACCCGGTAATCTGTAACTCCTCAACAGCATAAGAATTTTACATCAAAGAAAATAAAAGCAAGTGCTATAAGGTGGAGAAGTGAAGGAACAGTTACTGGAAGGAAAGAGATAGTTAGCATATCTACTTACAAGTCACAAACAGTTCAGAAATCAATAAGAATGTAACAATTAGCCGCGAACCGGTTGAAAATGGCAAACAAATTGCAATATAATTGGAGTAGGAGTTTATATAGGAACTGACTGTCTTTAGAAAAGTTTACGTGGCATTTTCTTTTCATCTTGCTTCTGAACGATGCGTATTAAAATAGTGTTCATAAGCGCAGCTCTGCTTTGTTTACAGCGGTAATCAAGTAAACACTGTATCACTGCTGTTCATAAGCGCCACCTGCTGGCAGAGAGTGAATCTGCGTCTCATTCAGCTTGTCTGCGGTTACATTCAGATATGTTTTATGTAGTATAGTTTCACAAAACTAAAGTCAGACCATTCTGTTTTTGCTTCAAATTTCGAAATTATACGGTCTAATTTAGATTAAAAACTGCTCATGCTGCATCTTTGTTTGGATGATGATTAAAATGCACTGGTGGCTTCTCATTTTAAATGGAAAGAGCACAGACAAAGCCTTAGTTTGTTCATATGAAGAGATTTCTTTTGTGTAACTTGCTTATTTGATTTGGGGTTTGTTTTAAAATTTCAATTTAGTTTTGTTATATTTCAATTTCACAAAGAAACGTGCAGCAATAGTCTCATGAAAGGACACCTTCTCATTTACTGTATAATGTCTTCAATCTCATTGTGTTAAAAAAAAATGGTGAGAAAATCGAATCGTGAATCGAATCGCGAGTTGAGTGAATCGTTACATCCCTAGAAATCAGTAGTGTACAAGTAATGTGTCCTACCCTGCAGGTTGGGGCTGTGACTGTATAATGTCTTCAATCTCATTGTGTTAAAAAAAAAACGGTGAGAAAATCAAATCGTGAATCGAATCGCGAGTTGAGTGAATCGTTACATCCCTAGAAATCAGTAGTGTACAAGTAATGTGTCCTACCCTGCAGGTTGGGGCTGTGAGTCTGTGTTTTTGTGAGAACATTCAGGATGTTCCCGGGGGAGAAATCCACTTTAGACAAGATGCTAGCCAGAGGATTTGATGAGGGAATGCTGCCAGGGGTCAAAGGAGGGGCTTTGGAGGAGGAGGCATGGCTGGATGGTGTAGTAGGTGTGCCAGGGGAAAGACGGGACACAGGACTAACGCCTGGGTATTGAGAAAGAAGAAAATGCTCTTATGAGCAAACTCCTCTCAAACTCATTCAGTGGCCTTGGGTTGTAGTATATGCCCACTAATACAGTAAGGTGAACATCGGCAAGGAATGAGAAAGTTATACTTATCATTCTAAACATAAAAACAACATTATATTTGACTGGTATATTTTTCTTCAGAACCTGTCTGTTGTGCTCTACAAATGGAAAACTCACCGGTGGTCTTCATTGCATTGGAGAGCGAGCTCAGAATGGAGCTGATCTTGCCCAGATCCACATTGGCCAAGTTCACCTGTAGGGGGGAGGGGCTAACGACAGGGGCAGGTACAGGTGTGGTCGTAATAGGTGTGGTGTTTGCTGGAGGCGTTTGATTGGTCGATGACACAGCCACCGTGTTTGTCGGAGTTGCTAAAATCTGGGATGGTTTAGAAGCAGTGATCTGAGAGCTTTTTGTAGCTGTAGCATTTGTAATCTTGGACACAGATGGAAGACTTGCCTTCTCTGTTCTCTCATCAACTGGAGGACAAAGAACACCTATGTCAGTTCAACGTTACATTTTTGACTCGTCTAAATTTCCCCTCATCTCTGCTTTCTCTTACCAACGTTTCCAGCATTTGCCGTCGTTTCCTCTTCCTCAGACATGTCCATGTCCTCTGTGTCTCTGTTGTCCTTCTGTTGATCCAAACCTCTCCCTCCGTTTCCATCCCCACTACCCAATCCGCTCCTGGAGCTCATGCTATGGAAGGGCGACTCTGAGCCGGTGGGAGACGGGGCGTCCTCAGAGGGGGAAGGGATGGGAGAGTCATCCAGACTGGGCAATGTGGCCTTCAGAGCGTCCAGCTTACGCTTCAGGCTACTGACGCGATTGGCAAAAGCTTTATACGCCTAAGGGAGCACAATATGAGGATACATGATAGAGCTGGGCAATATGGCAAAAAATGTAAATTTAAATTTTTTCAGAACGTTTTACCGATTCTCGATTTTTAACTAGTCAACTTGAAAATGTAACCACAACATGATTTAAGTAACTTTTTCTCTATTAACCCTCTAGTTCTATTCCAAGTGCAGCACACATGAAGTTGTCAACATGGAAGTAAATAAACAAATCACTTGTTAAATATCTTTGCAAAAAAGATACATGAACTACAACTACATCTTGTACAGAGTTTTCTTATACATATTATATGTTCAGAAATAATATGGGGTATCGCTGGGGTATATTTGTAGCAATAGCCAACAATACATTGTATGGGTCAAAATTATAGATTTTTCTCTTATGTCAAAAATCATTAGGATATCAAGTAATGATAATTTTCCATGAAGATATTTTGTAAATTTCCTACTGTAAGTATATCAAAACTTAATTTTTGATTAGTAATATGCATTGCTAAGAACTTAATTTGAACAATTTTAAAGGCGATTTTTTCAATATCTTGATTTTTTTTGCACCCTCAGATTCCAGATTTTCAAATAGTTGTATCTATTCAGCTTTCAGATGATGTATAAATCTCAATTTCAAAAATATTGACCCTTATGACTGGTTTTGTGCTTCAGGGTCACAAATGTTCTGTAACAACAATGAACAGCAGCTTTCAGTCCGTCACCATGATGCAAACATGAAATATCAGACATACAGCAGTAGTTCTTTACAGGTTTTTATTCGATTGCGCTGCTTTTCCAAACAGGACATGTTTGATTGTTGCGCTCGCGTCTCTTGCAGCGTCTCATGCATGAAAGGCCAGTCTAAAAACACGGCGCTCAAGTTAAAAGAAGTAGTTCAACCCCCATGTGCTTGCATTTTTTTTTTCTATTCCACTGCTCGTGTCACATCTTTGTCAACACAAAAGCAAAAATTCTGTATGAATGAAACCTAGCGATATATTCTGATATATTCTACTTCTGGTCCTTCACAGAGCGCGTCACTCGTGAGCGGTTAATCATATGAAGTAAGACATGCAGCTGGATCATTATTTTCTCTTTACTGTTATCATTGGCATATGTGACCCTGGACCACAAAACCAGTCATAAAGGTCAATTTTTTGAAATTGAGATTTATGCATATACATAAATATAAAATAAATACGCTTTCCATTGATGTATGGTTTGTTCTGGAATCTGAGGGTGCAAAAAAATCTAAATATTGAGAAAATCATCTTTAAAGTATGTTCACAAATCTTTTTAGCAAACGTGAATAAATCTAGCATCAAGACATCAGAGTCGACTCACATTGGCAACAATTTTGACCTCTTTGTATTGCATCTGGTAAAAGATGTCTGCGTTTCCCAGCGCCTCCAGCAGCGGGGGTCCTGCTTTTATCTGGCCCTCCAGGAACGTCACAAATTCCTGCAGCTTTGTGCTTCCCTCCTCAAAGTCCTCCGAGAACTTATTCCCTCCTGCTTTATCTATGGATGTAAGTTGAGAGAGAGAGTTTGAAAAGCTTGTCTCCAAGCAGTTATATAGTGCTGTTTTTGGTAAATATTACATTACCTTTGAACCTTTTGAGGGCCTCGGTGCTGCAGACGTCTACTCTGAGAGCAGCAAGCTGCTTCTCTCTTAAATCACTCTCGTCCAGAGAGTTCTTGTAAGACATTAACCACTCTACAAAATCATGCGGCTGACAAAGAGAAAATACAGTAATTATTAGTGTAATAACAATAGTTCAATTAAATCTAAAGACGATCATGACTTACTACAAACTCTGCAACAATTTTAGACTTCAGAGCAGTTTTGGGGTTGTCTGGGGCTGCAGAAATGGAAAAAAAGTAAAGTAATTTTTTAGAAATATATATATATATATATATATTTACACTTGGTCACTTAATGCAGGGGTTTTCAAACTGTGAGTCTCAACCCACTTGTGGGTCGCACAACATCACTTTGGCTGCAGCTAAATTTGTGTTTCAATGACTCACACAGTTCAGCCGAGGAGCGGAAACATGATGTCTCTTGTTCAAAATCTTCTTTTCTCTTTTTGAAGTGTTATTTCCGCTATAATGTATTGATTGAAATTATGAATTATTAACTAATACTTTTTTTTTTGCGTGCTCTGGCGCCCCCTGGTGAGCCACGCCCCACACTTCGAAAACCCCTGAAGTAAATAATACATTTATAAACAACGTGAACGCTCATTTTCATTTTATAAGGTGATTTTAATCATTTGCAACAATGACAAATACTGGAAGCTCAGAAACTGACCAGGAGAAGGCTGTTTCTCTTTCACTTTCTCCTTCTTCTCTTTCTTCTGCAGACTGGCCTTCAGCTCAGAGATCAGCTCCTCAGGATAAACGTTCCTCTCCTGCCAAATACTGAAGATCCTGTCCACTGACTTACACACTTTAGCATCCCTACAAACACACAGAGAGTCAGCCCAGAATGTCACTGCTTCAGTACCAATCACACTCCTGCACAAACATGCATGTGATTCACTAACTTGACCAGCAGGGCGGCGTCAGGCAGCACCTCAGCGAAGGTGGTTCGGTAAATGATAGCGTTCTTCCTTTTGCAGTTCTGAATGACATCGTTAGCAAGGTAGAAGAGATTACACACTTTAGGATCCCTACAAACAAACAGAGAGTCAGCCCAGAATGTCACTGCTTCAGTACCAATCACACTCCTGCACAAACATGCATGTGATTCACTAACTTGACCAGCAGGGCGGCGTCAGGCAGCACCTCAGCGAAGGTGGTTCGGTAAATGATAGCGTTCTTCCTTTTGCAGTTCTGAATGACATCGTTAGCAAGGTAGAAGAGATTGAGCCTGTGACTGGCATCCGCTGCACAAAGAACAAAAGGAAAAATATTTATTAGACTGCAACAATGCCATAATACAGAGAGCTTACGATGATGTGAGATTAAGATGATAAACAGAGAACCCATGGATTTAATGTAAATCAACAGAACTCTTCAGAGAGCTCAACGTCATTCCCTGCATTCATTCACTTATTGAGACCCACAATGCACTCTGATTTCAAGTGCACACTTGGTGTATGCTTGCCAACAGATTATTTCCAATACTGCAATGAGAGATGGCGAAAGGAGGCAGCAACTTTTACAAATGAAAGTGTAACTTTTTGCTTATTAAAGTACATCTGTATGAAGATGTTCAAAACTAAATGATAAAGGCTTTTTGACTGAGATGGTAATTATATTTTATCGGCATGCAGCAACTGAACACATCAGTGCCATAACTACTAATATAGCTGTTAAGGACAAACTGTCCCCCAATCGTTGATATTCTTGATGCTCTGGGCTTCACAATTTTGAATTGAAAATATGCTATCATTTTTGTGATTCATGTAATGCATAACTGAATGTGACCAGAATCTTATTTGGCATATGCGTGCATGTGTGCATATTTTAAAATACAATACTGTTCACAAATAGTTCAAATGGAATTGAAATGGTATAAAATAGTATATGTTATAATTAGGCTTTAACGCGTTACCTAACGAGATTAAAATATTTCATTATTAAATAAAACATTCAATATTAAACAATATAAAATGTAATAATTATTTAATTAAATATTTAATGGCCCCGCCCCTAGACCTGCACATCATCTTACATTTCATATAGTTGCCTGTTGACAATTTTGAATTGAAAATATGCTATAATTTTTGTGATTCATGTAATGCATAACTGAATGTGACCAGAATCTTATTTGCCATATGCGTGCATGTGTGCATATTTTAAAATACAATACTGTTCACAAATAGTTCAAATGGAATTGAAATGGTATAAAATAGTATATGTTATAATTAGGCTTTAACGCGTTACCTAACGAGATTAAAATATTTCATTATTAAATAAAACATTCAATATTAAACAATATAAAATGTAATAATTATTTAATTAAATATTTAATGGCCCCGCCCCTAGACCTGCACATCATCTTACATTTCATATAGTTGCCTGTTGACAAATATGATCCATAAATGCAGTTATGCCCTAAAATTCAAGATATTGGTGCAATAAAAATGCCCCTGTATGATTTTCTGTCTCATATTTATATCACGCGATATCACACGAGCAAGGAGAGCAGTATTACACGAGTGATGATTTTGTTCTGAATATCATGAGTTTAAATGTGATTTTACACAACAGTTCAGTAAATACTGCTAGACAATTCATGGTGACAGTATGAGATTAATACACAATGTTTTTGCTCAAAACTCACTCTACTGTGACCTAATGCAGATATTGTATGCAATAAATTGATGCATAAATCCATTATGAGACCGAACACAGCTGTTTATCGTCACCGTAATGTGTGGAAATATGATCACACAATATTGACTGATGGATCGGCAGAGAATCTTTCTGCGAGTCACTAACCCTTTAAACTTTGCTTCATGCTGGATGGTATTTATTTATCGTGGTAATCGAATATGGTTTTAATCATAATTAAAACATGAAATGGTAATACTAACTGTGGGGAATTTTATCATGGTTTATCATCAAACCAGTAATCGTTCCATTCCTAACTACATGTACTAATTTGCAAAATATACACACAGGACTCCAGACAAAAAATAAAAAAATCAATTAAGTGTGAACTAAACGTCTTTTCAAAATTGAGAACGATATACAGTCACAAATAATTGTTTAATACACAGAATCTGTGCCAATATCATGGACCATGTCAGCATCACATTGCCATTGAGTGTCATTTGGGCTCCTCTTCAATGCATCCTATAAATGTTGTCCTATGTCTTGCACACATCCAGTCTGATTTTCTTCATTAAAAACATGCAATTTTATAGGAGGAGTTGAATTTTATCTTTAGCTCCTTGCAATGTTTCTCATCATGTAGACAACAGGTCAAGTAAAAATATTAATATATTAAAAATATTAATATGCAATATATGTATTGTTACGTGACATTGTTTACAAGCTTTAAATGTTTTCCGCAGTTTGAAACACTGAATGAGTGATGACATGAGACATTTCAGTAAGTTGTACTGTAGGCTCTTATAATACACCTTTTGATGTCCATCAATGTTTATTTCGTACTCCTGAGGTGTACAAATGCGAAAAAAGGCATTACATTGACATTTTAAAATCATAACATGTAAATTTATATAGTCGCTAGTAGGGCTGTCAAAAAAAAATTCGAATTTCGAATATTCGTCGGATTTAAAATAAAAATCCACATTTTGCATTCGAATTTTAGGTGTGCGTCAGGCAGCCTTATCAGTGGCGCACGAGATGCGATGATGATGTAAGTGTCGTTGCATTATAATGTTTTTGTTAGCCTGTCCAGTTGAAGCCACTAGATGTGGCGCTGCTGCGTTGTTCATTAAAAATATAGCGGAAAAGAGAACAATCAATGCGGAGAAGATCTTGTTTACATCAAAACCGAAACCAAGCCGTTCACACACAATGCATATTTCACACACTTTCTAGAAGGACATCTATCACCTTTGCACTCGCATCTCGCACAAAAGAGCCGCATGTTTAGAAAGCCATGTAAAATTAATGCAAGTTTAACTTTGAAAAAAACATATCTCGAGACTTTATGGCGGGGTATTTCCCCATCCCACTGCATCTCGTGTTTTTAAATGAAAAATGTACTCTGTGTGATTGGCTTTCGGTCCTTTGTATTAAACTATGCATTGTTTTGTGATGCTGTTTTGTTTATAGTTGTTTAAGCAACTTAATTATAATTGGTTTATAAACATTATTTTAAACATTATGCACTTTTTTTTCACAGATAGTCATGTTATCTTATGCTTTGAAGAAACGTGCATTAGTAATATTTTGCTTGATGCGCCCTCTTGTGGCCTCAGGAGAGAAGCCAAAAGCTTTTCTTCACCCTAACTGAAATGATGCATTTTAAATTCAAATATAATTCGAATTTTGATAATATTTAAGTACAAAATTCGAATTTAGTTTTTCAGCTATTTTGACAGCTCTAGTCGCTAGTGGGGACCTCAGCAAAAATATACTTGCAAATTAATATTTTTGGTTGCAAATGCAACCGTTTTCGTCGCAGTCTGGAGCCCTGACAAACAAAATAGGCTGACTTTTAAAAACGTACCACTACAACTAACTAAAACTAACAAACAATACAAAATTGATGTAATTATTTTAATTACATTAAATTAAATTCCCAAAATATCACAATCCTGTTATTCTATAAGCAAACTAGATGCAGGTTATCTAGATGCAAAATATCAAGTGACATCTGCAAACAAATGATGCTAGGCAATTTTTTTGGATTTTTAGGGCTGGGTAAAACTTGACAATTCAAATAAAAAGTTTAAAACAGGATAAAGGATAAGTGGGATCTCATTGTGAGGAGGTACCAGTCAGGACAATGGTACAAAAGTATTTCCAAAACATTAGGATAGATGTGCCCTGGAATACCATGAAGACAATCATCAACAAGCAGAGATGAGGGATTTCATCTTTCAGCACAATAATAACCTCAAACACAAGTTTACAACATAGGCTCATTGGAAATACGTGCCTCTACTTACATTTCTGCGAAACTCAATACCCATACATACGAAACGCTGCAGTTTCCAGTTGAAATGAATAGGGCTGGGTATCGAGTTCAATACTTTTTAGGCACCGACCGAATTGCCTCGATACCATCGAGTATCGAAAAACGTCTCGTCGTTCGGTAGCAAATTTCGATACCTAAGGGGTTCATCTCATCACCGTCAGTGAGCCAATAAGCCTGCAGCACTAGGTGTGCTCGATTAGAAGCGGCGCAGATCGATCAGTGTTTGACATCCGCGAGAGCGATGTTTAGAGCAGCGATCATGGAAGAGAGAGCACAGGCAGACAGCGCTAGAAACTGCTAATGCTCATCAGTAAATCAGTGGAAAATGAACAGAAATGATGATTCTGTCTGAGCTATGCGTTTTAAAACGAACACGCACTAGTGTAAATGTAGCTAACAGATGTGTAAACTGAAGACTATTTGAGCTTTATTAAAACTATTTGCACTGATTTTTTGTTAGTTACATTTTGTTCCTTTGTGCAGTGGCTCAGGAGATGAGTCTTTGAGTCTGTATAAACATCAACAAGGTGAAAAATAAAACCAAAGTTTTTTTTTTAGATAATGTAACCTTGTTAAAATAGATTTCATAAAATTGGTATCGAAAAAAGTATCATTCAGGAACTGGTATCGAAGTCAAGGTATCGTATCGGTATCGATATCAAAAATGTTTGAATACCCAGCCCTAGAAATGAACACTAGAGGCAGTAAAACTCCCACAACTTTTATTCCTTTTTTATTTTTTCCTCACACAAAGTATGATTTGCAGGTCCACAGTTTCGATTAATAAAGCCTAATTTTCGCATAATTACTGCATCAACAAATGCATTTTTATATCACTTTTGCATTTGTCAACACTATCAGGTAGGTTTAGGGTTGGGTTTGGTGTAGGGGATATTTCTAACACGATACAGCATTGACTTTTAGCGACACTCCTCGGATATTTGAATTCTGAACAACCGCCATACGTTCCTAAAGCAATACACATTCCGTAATACAAACACAGCAATATGTGCCTTTATCAACCTAACAAATATGTGCCAGGGTAACGTATTGAACCTGCATTTTAGCTCCACTCAAAGGAAGTTTCACTTTGAAACTGCCGTGAAACGTGCAGTTAGGTACGTAATAACGGTGCTGCAGAAATGTATGTAGAGGCACGTATTTCGAATGAGCCTGGTCTGCAAATTTAAGTCGGCAAAGGAATAGCTTCAGAAGAAGAAGGTTTTGGAATTGCCTAGACCTAAATCCACTTGAAAAATACTTAAACAGGCTGTACACTGGTGATCCCTCTGCAGCATGATCAATCTGGAGCTCTTAAACAAGGAAGAGTGGAAAAAAAATGGCAAATCAGGATAGGCTAAGCTGACAGACTCATATTCAA